ACTCGGCGAAAGCGATCTCGTTCCTTAGTCTAGTTAAAAGGCCGAGCCTTAAGACTAAGATCTAATTATAAATTAGAATCTAAGCGGTACCTCTCTAAAGATATAGACGACCGTAAATTTATTAATATCTCGGCCTTAAAGTTTAATTCTAACTCTCCCGACGGAATCTAAACGCTATCGATAATTAATAGTTTTACTTTACGATATATATTATAAGCGAATAGCGTTTAGAATACGAGTAATAACTACATTAATATCGATAGTTCGTTATTATTCTTATTAAGTAGTCTATTCGAAGTAATATCTAAAGCTCGAAAGAACTATCTCTCTCCCTAGGTCGCCCCGTTAGAACCTATCGTCGCTACGATTCCGATCGACCTAAAGATTATTCGTCGAGGGCGTCTAGCGGTAAACTTTAATTAGATCGAGATAGTTAATCTTATAAATCTTTACGATAAGTTTAATAAGAGATTTTTAATACTTACTTAATCTCGTAGTGCGTATTAAATATTAGTAACTATAATATAGTAATATCTAACTAAGATTATAAACGACTTATCTATTAATACCCTAGACGTTTTAGACGTTTAAAGAATCTTATAGAACGAATTTTCTAGCGTTAATTTAACTCTAAATATTAAAACGAAAGATTCTATAGAGATCGACGATAATTACGAAATACTAATCTCGAACTTAAGTTCTTCTACCGTCGTATTAATCTAGATAAAGATAGTATAATTCTATATTAGTATCTAAGATTTAAGTTATAGTTAATCTACTACTATAGATTTAAAAGATAATTAATAAAAGATTAAGAAATTACTAGCTAAAAGTTAGATTAAAAGATAAGTTTAATATTTAGTGAAGTGATTTAGTTATCTAAATAAGAAAAGTATTTAGAAGCCTCTAGAAAACGTTTATTCCGACGATGTTACGGCGTTTAAGACTAATTATATACCGTATTATAATAAGCTCTAAGAGTTTAGTTTAAGTATTTAAATTATATAAGTAAATTAATTTATCTTTATTAACTTAGCTATTTCGATTTAACTATACGATTTATTTATTACCTTAGTAAATATACTTCTATTAGTATCGATTAGCTTATAGTCTTTACTTTTAAAATAAATAATAATAGTACTTTTTTTCTTCTATACTTAGTATCACTACTCGCGCCTTATATCGACGTATTCTTTCTACGAAACTCGTACGCCTAGCGTATAGAATGCGCTAGGCGAGAGACGATATTAGCGTTAAATTAAGAAAGTTTCGTTAAAGAGTTCCGACTAATACGTATCGCTTCCCTAGTTAACTTTATTCTGGTTTCGGTTCTTATAGAGATTAAGATAAAGTCGGAAATAGCGGAGTACGCTCGATATTCTTATTATCGATATAATAGTGGCCGGCGCTTCTAGTGACGTATAAAGTAAAGGGTTTTTCTTAGCGGCTAAGAAAGCGTATACTAGCTAACTCTTTATTAAAGACGTAGTACTCTCGCGCGATAAGAGTTAGAGCGAATTTATCGATAAAAGCCGAGATTATTTCGATTCGTTATAGTATTTAAGATATTAAATATATCGTTTAATTTCACCGATCTAAAGAATATTCGCCCGGCTTTATTAAGTCTTCGGTACGAAATTAGTAAGCGTAATTATATAATAACTCAAAAATATCTTACGTTTCTCGACGACCTTACGGCTAGACTATATATTACTCTATATACGCGATAAAATATATAAACATTAATAACTAATTATAGAGATCTCGTAATTTTATTTCTCGAATTAAGCGATAACGCCGAAGACGTTTCGTACTAAGAGATATTTAAAAGTTCTACTACTCTATAATATATTAATAGCTCTCTTTATCTTATATTTAACGAACGATATAGCCTAAAAAATACTATTATACTCGATATTAGACCGTATTATAATAGTAAAATAAGAATATAGTAAGAAGAGAAAAAACGTATCGCCGATAATAAACGAGCTTACGCGATAACTAAAGAAATTTTAACTTTACTACGTCTAGATCTTATTTTAATTTATTAATACTAAATATTCTATATAGTAAATAGATTTACCGCTAATTACTATTTATCTATAAAATTAAGTAAGAATCTTAATTTATCTATTTTATAGAGTAACTATAAAATAATGAAGATCAATAGCTTCTATTTAATATATTTTATCCGAATAGATAAAGATAAAGAACCTCTAGAGAGAATAATATAAGAATATTTATTTAATACTATCTTTCTAATTACTACTAACTTTCTTATAGATCGTCGACTTTCTAACTTCGATATAAATAATCTAAGAAAATATATATTATACGGGCGAGTAATGAAATTTACGACCGAAGATATTAGAATTACGTACTAGTAAATAGATAAAGATAATATCGCTAGTCTTAATCTTATCTAAATACTAAAAGAACTAAATCTAGAAGTAAACGTAATTCTTTAGTTTCGTCTTTTCTATATTCTTACGCTAATATAATAATAAAATAATCGCTCCGCGAAACTTAATTAACTTCTAAGTATAAATCTCTAGAAGTATAAAGAGTACAATAACTTAGTATTCATAAGTAACTAAAGTGAAATTAAACTAAAAGAGAACGTATTTAAGAAAATAGAATATTTAGTTTCTAAATTACCGACCGAATTAGTACTAATAAACAATATACGATTATATTTTTCGCCTTCTAAAGTCTTTAAATATCCGAACCGAACTATTATTACTAAATAAGTCTTATTCTTTAAATATCTCGGTTCTCGCACCTTTAGTTCGATAATCTAAACGAAACGAACGGTATAAAGATATTATAGTCACTACTCGTTAAATAGCTAGAGCTATATAATACTTTTTACGTATAGTGCGAATAAATACGAAATTAAAATATAAACTATAGAATAAGAAGACTATATTTATTTAGTATTCTATATCGTTAGGCCTTACTAATACTACGTATATTATAATATACTATTCACTTAGTTATTTAATTATCTTAAAATCTAATCTAATACTCCCATCTTAAGCTAATCTTTTCGAGATCTAAGGCGATTTAGAGATTAATACTAATCGGAAATCGTTACTAATTTAATATACGTTATTACGAATTAAATATAACGGTATAGTATTATAGATAATATTTAGCTCTCTCACTTAACTTATACTTTAAATCTATCTAGCTACGATAACTTTTATAGTTAATTCTAACTTTAGCTTCTCTAAAATGAGAATAATTTTATTTAGTCTCTAAAAGTAGCTTCTAATATAGTCTATAAGGCGATTTACTGTATTAAAATAGTTCCGAATCTAAGTTTAAAGCTACTAAATAAAGTTATATTAACGATAGACTTCTTCTTTCGTAAGTTTTCTATATTTAGATTTAGTCGTCGCTTTATCTTTTCACTAATATAGCTTATAGAAAAGACGAGCGTTATTCTTTTTAAGCTACTTAATTTTTATACTAAAGCTAATTTTAGAACATTATAGCTATATATATTATTAAATAGTGTCTCTTTAAGTACCGATATAGCTTTTCTATATCGTAACGATAGAATTCGACGTATCTACTAATATTAAAGTCGACGAAATAGTCTTAAACGTTTTATCTACTTCTTTATATAGTTCTCTATAGACGCTAGCGAAGTAATTACTTATATTTTTTAAAAATAACTTTATTAGTCTACTCCGAACTTTATCTTTAACTATATCTTTAGTCGTAACTACTTAGTCGGCCTTATTAAATACTAAAGAGAAATCACTCTCTTCTTTAGACTTTTCTAAGCTACACGGAACGAATTTTTATTTATATAAATTAGACTCTTTTAGCTTAAAACGAATCTACGACGAGACTACTTTAATTTCTAATTTATTCTCTTAGAATGAAATTAGCTTTAGCCTCTAGTAGAGATCATTTTACACACTAATATATTTTAAAAGAAGCTTACGGTATTCGTCTCTTAACTTTCGTCGTTCGAGGTTACTTAGTCTTATATTAGCCATTTTAAGAAAGTCTCACTATTTAGCTAAATAGATGAATTACTATGTAAATACGAGAGGCCTAGAGAGATCTTTAAATCTTACTTATTTAAAATAGGACCGTAGAGGAAGGTCCCATTTTAAGAACTCGAAAATCTAAAAAATTTCGATGGGCCAGCGATTAGACCCCCTCCCGTTGATTAGATTTAAGACTATAATCGACATCCCTACGTAGTGAAACACCCTACGTAGTGAAATACGTCCAAGGTACTTCGACTGTCACCACGACTGGCACGCCACCCAGTAGTGTCATTCCTATTAACAAGATCTCTGTACGCTGGGGATACTTTGCGCTATCCTCAATACGAGTTTTGATCATAAATACCGAGATTTGATGTGTTGAGACCTATGTTTTTGGAAGTGTATAGAGATCAGCTAAAACGGCTGAGACCTCCCACATGCTATGATAGTGCTAACTTTACAACTTAAAAACAATAGATATATAATATGACCGCCTCTTTATCTGATCACCGATTATTAAACCTCTTACTATCATCGTTCATGGTCGGTACTGCTGTACACTCCTCTTTAAGACCCCTGTCAGGTACTTCGAGGCAGATCATGGAACAGCCGAGGACTAACCCGAGGACGACGGCATGTAAATGACAGGTAAGGTACAAGCCACAGTTTGAACATCAGCCACCGCCACGTTGCGTACTCCATCTTGCCGCTGTAATGCACCCTACCACATATCAGCACGTGATCTCTAAAGTCGTCAATATTTCCTTATCCTGCGTGGCTGAATGACAACAGCCTAAGCGCCGAGCAGCTGAACCGCTCAAGGCTGTGAAAGATGTTGCTGTTGCTGCAGCCTCATGCTGCCCTGAAAGACTATTCATCTCTCCATCCTTTGTGCAGTCATCGTCGATAGAATCGCTGTGACGGGAATGCTATCCACTTCTGGATCCTAATTGCGACAGGCAGCTTGATTAGACTAACTTGCTCTTTCCAATGTCGCTGTCTATCATTTACGCTCCTCAGGATGCAACGACATCGCCCGCCGTCGAGTGAGTTCCTGCTGAGTATCCGCTGGCTGTGGTCTCTCCTTGTGCAGGGTTTTTCGTTGACTGAAGTCTTACTCTAGTATCGTGGCCGTGCACGGCATCGGTGGCGATGCCGTCAACACCTGGACACACCCGAAATCGAAGGCATTCTGGTTGAAGGACTTCCTTCCCCAGCAAATCCCCGATGCGCGCATCATGACCTTCGGCTACAACGCGGACGCGGCATTTGGGCAGTCGACGGCAGAGGTGATCGACCATGCCAAAAGCCTCCTAGCCAACTTGATAGACAAGAGAGAGGAAGCGGAGGTGCACATTTCAGCAATGGATAGAGTGAAGACAATGTTAATGCTATGTGTTAGGAGATTGAGCGCCCTCTGATATTTATTGCCCACTCCTTAGGGGGAATTGTGGTGAAACAGGTATACCAATACTCTACTAGAGGTCTACGGAATAAATGATGAATTAACAATTTCTAGGCTCTGTTACAGGCACGGCTGGAACCACGATTCCAGTCGATCAGCGATGCAACACTTGGTCTGATCTTCCTCGGCACACCTCATCGTGGCAGTGAGAAGGCGTCCTATGGTAATGTGTTGGCGAACGTCGGAAAATTTCTCACCCACGGGCCTTCTTCTCGTCTCTTGACGGCGCTCCACGCGAACTCGGATGTACTTCTACGGTTGAACACTGATTTCCGCTTCCAATTACCCGACTATCAGGTGTATAGCTTCTATGAGCAGCGACCGATGAAGGGACTTTCTAGTCTGGTAGAGGTGGTTCTAATTCCATGCTCCATTCATATAATTAACCGAGATTAGATTGTTGAAAAGCATTCCGCCTTCCTCGAAATTAACAATGAAGAACTGATTCCCGTGGACGCCGATCACAGCGCGATGTGCAAGTTCGAGACGCAGAGTGACGACATCTTTGAGACGGTATACAAGAGAATCAAGAGGATGAGAAATAATCTGCTGCGGATCACGAACGAACAGTCGGGCATGTCCACGATAGAAGACCGACAAGTAAGGCAGCCATCGTTTAATGATGCGTTTGATTCGGGTTATCGGTCTATGTCGAATACTGTCTCAAAGAGTAACGAACGAAACGATGACAATACCTCAATTAGATCTATCCTGAGCAATGCCTCACGGGTACTACTTTCGCCGCAGGAAAACAAGAACCTTATAGCGGTATTTGCGGGAGATTTGTGCCAGGACATTGGCTTCCTCGGAGACCTTGACGATGTCCGTGATCGGATCTCCGCTCGTCTCCCCGATCTCCTGAAGACTTTCACGCTGAGACTGGAAAAAAGTGTCAATTCAGAGGCAGAACGTAAGGCAAAGGAATTCGTTCGGCAACAACGCGAGTAAGAAAATTTCATACAAGCTTCCTTGAATACAGATCTACGCTTATGGCTGTACATAAGAGTACTTTACTTCTCTTAAGGCTTGCTGACACTTTTCATTGTTAGTCACATTACTTACCAGCTCTGTGAGGGTCAAGTACACGCAGAGATATCAGAAGATGAGGGTGTCTCAACTCCGAAGGAAGACGGCATGTCGGTCACCGAGAAAATGGCGATCTGGAACACTGCCGAGTGCTCTAACCTCCCGCTAGAACCTGCACTAGTCCCGGACGAAGAGCCTCTAAGATTTCAAGAACTCCGTTCATTCCTGTTAGATAGTCCAGCGTATCAGTGGCTTGTGGAGAACGCTCGATCTTCAGCAATATTGACTGAGAGAAAGGGAACAATTGTTGATGCTATCGCGCGCAAGGTTGATGACACAATCTCGTCCATGAGATCTCCAAAGTCATGGCGTTTCCAAATGTTCCAGATTAACTTCAACATACACTGGGACCTTCCGAATTTTCTCATGGGTCAAGAGTATGAAACTACGTCGGAGATCGCTGTCGAACACGCCATCACCGTTACGGGATCCGGAAGTAATACTCAGGCACTGAGTTGTATGGAGTATATGCGCCAGACTTGGCCTTCAAGTGGCCGTGAGGTGCTGCGGATGCTTCAGAAGGCTTTGATATCTCCAAATCTGTCTTATTCGAGTAAGTAAAGGTATTAGGAGCTATTGTCCAGCGTCTAATTATTTAGGTTGTCTTGCTGATGGCACGGAGCTCGACATTTCATTGAGATCACCTAGGGTATCGGTCGTGGCACGTGGAGGCCAGGCTGCCCTAACAGAGCTTTGCGAGCAGCTTGCTTGGCTTGGAGCTGCTCTCCAAAACTCTCCGGTATCGTCTGGAGTGTGTCTTGCCACTCCGAACATCACAATCTCTAAAGACGCCCATCCTAGCAACGAAGTGCCATCTGTTACTGTTCAAATCGCATTCACGATTACTCCGCTTCCGGATCATGATCTGTCTACTCACCTGGGCGGTACTTGTTGGCACGCAATGTTTCGTAATCCGACAGTTGTCAACGGCTTTCCAATACTCGCACGGCATGAGAGCGAGCAAGGACTGGAGCTACCACTTGACCTAATGAGCGTTCTGGCCGAAGCACACTTTGCCACGCGCTATGGTACAATACTGCTTTTGAAAGGACTCTGTACCATGCTTGTACCTACGCGTCAGACTAAAAACTCTGTCACCTGGCACTTCCTGTTAAACGAAGATGGGAATCGTATGCCGTACTATTCTTTCCGGGAACGCTGTCCGAGTTGGGTTGGCGTTGATAAGGTGAGTATGGGCTTTCTAGAGGCAGGAAACGTTCGCCATTTCGTTGGATGGGCATCACATATCACCAGGCATTTAGGTATCTTCCCCTCTATCTTGTCTATTTGTTTGACAGCTAACAGTCTGAATAGGAACAAAAGATGTGAAATACGAGCAGATCGACTGGTCCGGAGCCAAACAATGCTCTCCAGGCCTGGCTATAGAGCAGAAGCTAACCATCTCTGTCAGCAAGATACTTGGGGGAAGTATGACTGCGGTCCGGGGCAACAGGGACAAGCCCATGTACGTAAAACATTCCGGATACTCGATCCAGATTAAGCAGGCCCGCAAAAAATACGTTGTGCTTTACGATACTGAAGCTCAACGAGGGTGGTTAATTGATGGGGCGAGCGCCTTGCTACATCTCGTGCGGACGCAGACAGTACAAGAACCCTACGGTGGCCAAGATTCCCTTTTCAACCCTTCGAAATTTAAGCATCCCGGAATAGATCAGGGCCCAGATGCAGCTGAGAACGTTTTAAAAGACGAGAGCAATATGCAACACGTCATCCTCAGGGAGTTCAGCTCATACGCCGATGAAACAATTGATGTACCTCACCATGAAGCAATGTCGATAGTTGGCGAGGAGTCTGACAATGTGATGAACAAGCGATCGGAGAATGCGCCCAATTCAGTTGAAGGGAGAAGAGCAATTTATAAGACAACATGCCTCAGGGAGCTGGTCTCACAGACTTGGAGTACTTTAGAGCTGATCTTTGACCACCAGACGGATGTTGCAAGGACTCACACCACAACGCAGTTGACAAATCCATTCCAAACAAAATTGGAGGGCTACGAGTTTATGGATATCGTATCAGCCCGTACCAGCTTGACTCGGCGGGCTGTCGAACTCCAGTCCAATGGGCCAACCTGGATAGTGTTGACAAGGCGGATACAAGCAATTACTCTTTTTGGTCAACATTTCGGAGATATGTACAAGCCCACCGAGGATGCCGCGGAACGGATCTGCAAACTGTGGCAGACTGTTCCGCAAGGCCACGAGTATCTTGCGGTCCCAATATCACTACTGAAAGAGATCAAGCAGCGCAGCTGGGAAGACGGTGAAATCGACGCGAGCTCCCCAGAAATAGCAAAAGGTCTCATCTGCTCCCCTTCAAGTGACGCTTTCAGAACATGTGAGCCATGCTGCAAACACAGTTTCATCCGCGTCCAGCAGCCTTGTTCCTCTAAACCGGCGGAAATACTAGCCAGGATTGCCATGGACCAGAAGGCGCCTCGTGAAGTTAACCCTTTCGTTGAGATCAACGGCGCCCTATTGTTCGGCAAGAATAGCGATTTGGACGTCAAAAAGCTCGAGATTTTGTCGCCACCAGCGGTGCACAAGGAAAGCAGCTTCCACGACAGCGGAATTGGTCCAAGCTTGCAGTTTTCCTCCCAAGCCAGCTCATCAAATACAAACCCCGTCACGAACCCGGATACACAGCCCATGCGACCGTGGGCAGACAGCATGGGAACCTCTCCATCCCCATTAGATCAGACTAGGCCTAAGAACACGAGTGGAGACCGCACTAAATCTCTCAGTTTGCGGCAATCAGATGACGATACTACAGCCAGGAGGGCCAGCCTCTCCCAGCAAGCGCTATCTCCAGGGCCTGCATCTGTGAACAAGTCCACAGATGTCCCATTCTCGGATCAAGCCCACAGTTGGAGAAGGAGCCTCGTTGCCAGCTTGGAAAAGGTAGCTACCAGGATAATACCTTCGTGGCGGAAGAGAGCAGTTACCATTGCACCTCGCCGTTGAATGTCGTGACCTCAAGGGCTCGTTGGCGAAATATTGTCAGCCTTAGTATAGTGTCTTTGTGTCGATAAAATTGGCTGGCTTGAGAATCTATGTCAAAAGAACTTATGTAATCGAGGCTAATGAAGGAGGTCCTGTGATGCCGCGATTGGAACCGTGGGAGGAGAGGAATTGCTGCAACCGATCGCGCTTTCTGACTGGTGTCACTAGAGGCACGGTGGCATCTCTTCTAACATGTGAGGGAGGAGGCACGCCTTGTAGACAGTGAGACACTGAAGAGTTGAGTTCGAGTCAGGACTGTCTATCTATCGAAGTGAGGCTGAATGTGTGGTAAGGACTGCGTAACACAACAGATTGGCCGTGTGCTTGAGCTGCGCAGTTGCGGGCGCAGCCATCAAAGATGCTGGTGGCTCTGGGGTTGAGGCGGCAAGGGTGCTAAGCAACATGCTTGTGGCTAGGGTGCGAGATTCGACGGTCAAAATCAGTTGTTATTTGCACGCCAAAACAGTCTATATTGTGCTCAGCTGTTTAGTCATTTGTATTGAAGTACCTATCAGAGGTGCTCCATTCTATAAAACGGCAGCACAGACCATGGATATATAATAAACTTAATCTCCAGTGGAAGGGGCACAGATCCATCCAACCATGTAGTCAGAGTGGAACAATTTGGTCGAAGGGGTCATACGTCAGAGCCCCGGTGCACCGTCATGGTTCTTGTTTCGCTTCCTCCTCTTTGTCACATCGAGCATTTGGGAATCTTCATGTCCGTGTTTGAGCCTAGGCATTGTGCCGTCAGAACGCATAGGCTAAGTTGTGTTGGCATCGCTGTCGGCACACATTTTCGTCAGGGTTGGAGCTGTCGTGAAAGTCTGTGCATGATGACGAGACTGAGCAAGGTTGCGATGAGTCAAGTGGGGTGGGCGATCGTAGTTCAGGCAGCCGATCCAGACGATTAACCTGACTCCAGGGAACACGGTCGACCCTATGGCGGACGGGCAACAGGTAATGTCATAAGAGAGAAGTCACTAGCGAAATCAAAGAACGTGTGGTATATATTCAGTTTAGGGGTGATCAGAGCGTATCATCGCAGGTGGTTGATAAGTGCAGCAGGGAATTGCAGTACCACAGGCATCGTGAATGCCTCGAGGCGTTCAGCCGCGAGGTGCCTAGGCCGCGCCATGAAAAAAGGCTGAAGGTTGCGGACCAAAGGACAATCAATCATGGGTCAAGTTTTAACTCGTGGGATTGAGGCGGCAAGGGCGTTAGGCAGTCCAGCTCAGGGTGAAGATATGGTTTTACTAAGGCGGCAGGAAATTAATGCGAGCACGTGTATGTGGCAAGTCGGCCTTCAGTGGCTTGAGTGGTGATTATGGCGGGTGCCCTTACCGTATTGATACCCATGACCCTACTCGGCTCCATCCTCGGCTGTTCCACGATCTACATCAAAGTATCTAACAGGGGTCTTATGTAGGAGTATACAGCAGCACCAACCGTGAACATTGTTAGTGGCTGGTTTAATAATCGGTTCAACGATAAACAGACAGGTTTTTTACACCTCTATCATCTTAAAATTGGCGGATGGAAAGTAGTGATGTCTGTAGGGCGTCGGAGTCATCTTAGCTGATTTGGCGAGGGTTCACGAAATCAGGGTATGGAAATATCAAATCTTAGTATTTATGAATAAGAGTGGCAACAACTGTAGAGTAATGGGTTTCGAATATAGGGAAACCCTCAGATGTTGATCACAGCAATAGGTGGCGTGCCAGTCGTGGTGATACTCGAAGTACCATGGGCATATTTCACCATATAGGGTATTTCATCACGCCGGGATGTCGATTACTCCGTATAAATTATCATATATCGGATGTAGGGGGCTACATCACTCTCTAATCCAAAGCGCGTATAAATACACTAGCGTTGTTACCCACTAGGCAGAGAAAAGGTAGATTACTCTTAAACGTCATTGGTTAGATATAGTAGAGCATTTGTAGAAGCTAACATTTCTTAATTCCTAAAGTACCGAGACTCATAACTTCACTAGAGGTCAAAGAATAAGTACATTTATTTAGAGGTATATCGCTATTTATATAATTACTAATTTCACTGAAAAACATTTTACACATTACCTCTTAAAGTTATTTATTCTAGTAGTGGCTTTATATTAGACTCCGTCTCGTTTAAGACACTGACTTCGTATACGGCGTCATCGAATAATAGTATTAAGAATCTAAGATATCCGTCGTTATAATAGTGGTAGAGCGGGAGTTCTTAGTGAAAAGAAACGTAAGGATTTAATTCTAGACTAAAGTCTAACTAAAATACCCGATCGTATAAACGACTAAGATAGAGCTTTAGACGACTTCGGATAGGCTTTCTCGGCGTATAGAGTCTTATAGTCCTTAGAAGGCGTCGCGAGAAGATTAAAGCTCATATAATAAAGTTTCCGTATTACGTTGCCGAATAATATAAATATAGTAGCTATTCTTATATTTTAAAGAGGTGTCCTAGTTCTAGATACCTTTAGTAGCGATTAGACTAATAAAGTGGAAACTAGACTATAAGGAAAGAGGCTTTAGACGAGTTCTAAATAAGTCGATCTATATATATACGTCTTTAACAGCGACCTTACGCTTCTAATAGAAGTTATAGAGAAATTTCTCATCGCCTCGGAACTCTTCTTTCTCGTCTAAGCGATTTTACTCTATAAAGTTAATCGTTATCGTATTAAGTCACTCTCTAAAGTATACGATAGTAGATACTAACTAGAGATCTTAGCTTCTATAAATAAGCCTTTTTTATTTATCTCGGAGTGAAATTCGGAATAGCGCTTATAGCGGTGTATATCGAACATCACTAGCTTCCGAACGCTCTATTATATAATTATATAGATACTTATAATACTCTTTATATTAATATAAAGCTAATATTATCCGTATTTATCTCTCTCTAATAAATATCTCTAGTTCTAAAGATTAAACTTAATTAAAGGTATTTATCTTATTCCTTTAGTAGTTAAAGTCTTATAGTCTAAAAATCTCTTTTTAATCTTTTTAAATAACGCTATATATCTTTAACTAAATCTCTTAAAGATTTCTAAGTGATACTTCTAAGAATTCTAATATAACTCTTATATTATTTAGATAAACGATTTTAATTCCGCTCTAAAATAGCTTAATAGATCGATGTATTCGCGTAACTAGTATCTTATTAGAATTATACCCTTATATCCGTAGAGCTCGTAGTAACTTATTTATATCGATTACTTTAATATCTCGCTTACGAAGTAATATATAATTATAGCTATAAAACTAAATAAACTACTTACGAATTATTTATCTCTTAATATTACTTCTAAAACGTAGTAAGCTAATACGATTAATTATATCTCTTTATTATTAATTTTATTAATTCTCTATAGAAAGCTACTTAGCCTTAGCTAACTAAGGTTATAGTCTAATCGTCGAAGAATAATACGCTCCGCTTAACGCACTTTTACGGGGTTAAGGCCGATAATTTTAATAATATTCGATATCGAATAGTTAGAGTTCCGTTATTTATACTTAAGCGATATAATTAGTGATGTAGCTATAAGAAGCGCTAACCGATTAATAAATACTTTCATTAAGGATAGGGAGCGATCGATAATATTAACGATTAGATATAAGACCTTATAATAAAGATCGAGATAGTTTCGAATCTTAACTAACTACGCCACTAGTTATATTCGTATTCTCTAGTCGAGGCTACGTTACTTATCTATATAGTTTAAGTCTAGAAGTATCTTAGTTTCTTTATATATAAAATATTTAAAGATCTCATTTATATACTCTTCGAAGATAATAGTCTCTAGAGATAATATTTCGATTATTATAATATAATTCTTTACTAGATAAGACGAATAAAGAGTAAGAACGAGAGCTATAAAGTAAATAGAAAATAGCTATATTAAAGTAGTTTACGGGGAGGCTCTCTTTTCGACTTCTTTACTTAGATTATTACGTAGTGATTTAGAAATAGAGACTAGTTAAATACTATATTCTTAATTCTCTATTAATAAAAGTCTTATTAATATATAGCGTTATTCTATCTTCTCGCTATATTAGAATATCGCTATAAGTATAGATTCAACCATTATAGTAAGAGTTAGATTATAGATATTATTAGATTACTATACTATTATCGCTACGAAAGTAACTCTATTTATATCTTACGATATATAAGATATTCTCTTCCCCGTATCGATAATATTTATAGATACGTATATTAAAGAATTAAGCTAATTTATTTATATAATTATCAATTATTTATTAGCTTTAGCGATAAAGGAGACTTCCGTAAAATTCTATATAAATTTAAGCTCTCTTAAATTCTAAGTAATATTTATCTTAGATAGATCTATAACTTACGTAACCGTTAGTCTCGATAAAATTAATAAAGATATTTCGACTAAGTAAGATTTCGGAACGACGTAGAATAGAGCGAAATTATATACCTATACGTCACTAATTCTAGTATTAAATAAAGTCGAATTAGATACGTTACTCTTTAAGATATAAAAGAAGGCGTCGTATCTCGACTTAACCGTAAGTATAGACGATAAAAATTCGATAAGTAAAGACTTAATAAATACGAGGCGCTTAATAAGTTTAATAGAAGCGTCTATACCGACGGAAGTCACGATATAGTCTAGTTCGAAAAGCTTATTCATTAACATAACCGGAAAGAAGTAGTTATAAGGCGAAATCGATACTATATAAATATTATCTAAAAGATTAACGAGGTTAGCGAGATAAACTTCTTCTTACTATCTAAATATTAGAGTGAACGCTAAAACTAGTATTAAGATTTAACTTATCGTAACGACTTTCTTAATAACTTAAATAGTGTTATTAGAGTACCCGATAATACCTTATTCTATAAGATTTACGAGACTTATATTTATAAAAGAGTACTCTAAATTTTTAAGAAATAAGACTAATTAAAGCTCGTTAATCGTATTTCTTACGATTATCGTCGCTATTTCACCGTTAAATATTCTTTCTTCCGTAATATCTATAGTCTCGGAGAATAAAACTATATCTTCGGTAATACTTTCTAAAGTAAAGAAGAAAATACTAATAAACGAATAAATACTCTAAAGAAAATATATCGTCTTTTATAAAGTAGAGTAGAAGTTCTATATAGCTTTTAGCTTAGTAAGTAGCTTCTATAAGAGATACGATAATATATTATTAAGTAACGATTAAATCGAAATATTCTAAGCTAAGAAACTACTTTTAGAAATGTTCAAAGGACTTAGAGAACTATCTAATGTATAGATAGTAAGGCTTATATGGATCGTAAACCTTATAGGTAGGTAACTGACTATTAAAGAACTTGAAGATAACTATTTACCTAGGGAGAGTAAAGGTCTTTATATAGATAATGAGTGTCCACAGTTAAGACCCTTAAAATGTTGATTTCAAATCAACATTAGTAAGTACGACTAATCATTTAATAGAGTGCGGAATTAATATCGCACTAGTCACGTGATTTCATAGACTCTAGGTCTAAATACGAGGTTAAACTTCGTATTTAATCACGTGACTAAAGGTTTAATATTAAACCTTTAGAGAGCGATATTCTACAAGAAACTTAATAAACTAAAGAAGATTCCGGAAAAGAGAAATTTAGTGAAGGGCGTAGATACGAAATCTTTAGATAAGAGACTCTATAATACGTTCTATACTTAAAGTTTATAGAAAATAAAAATAGTAAAGCTAAAACTTCTTTATACTAATATAAAAGAATAATAGCTACACTTATTATAATATTACTATAAAAACTATCTATTAGACTATATTCGCTACTTCGTTTATATTAATTTCTCTCTCGCTTATATCTTTTTAAAATTCTAGATAAGATTAAATTCTTCGATTTATAGTATATAGCGTTAGTAGATCTAAATAATCGATAATATAATTATAAGAAGTACGGTAGTCACTATCGTCTATATTATATCTAAGAATATAGTTTCTTTATTCGCTCTAATATCGATACTATCTTTATATTTATTAACGATATCGACGACTTTCGTAATAATTATAGTTAAAATAACGAATTTAATACTAGTTACTAAAAATATAAGCTAGAGAACCGTGATATTAAAACGAAGAAGAGAAAATAACGAGATTAAAGTCTACTAAAAGAATCTCTAAAGTAAAATATTCGGGGAAGCGTTCGTTAAAATAAATCGTCTATAAGAAAGCGAAAATTACTACACTTTTAGATATAATACCGATAATATAAAATATACTTATTACTATATTAGCTACGTTAAGAGTACGCTCTATATTCTTAATTTTAGTCGGCTAATAAAGACCTTTTAATATAGTATTATTTAGAAGATAGAAATTAATAATCGTAGTCGGTTTAAATTAAAATAGTACTATATAATTAAAGTAGTCGATAATCTTCTTCGTCGAGTTTAAAACCGTTATATTAGATCTATATATATCTTTATAATATTCCGTAAGATATATTAAAAAGAAATTAGATAAATTTAACGCGTTAGTAATATTAAACTTTATATCGCTAAAGAGATTATTAATATTCTCTTAAATGTCGTTAACGAGATCGCCGAAGATACTTTCATCGCCGTTAAAAACATTAAATAAGCTAGTGTAGTTAATTCGTAATATATTAAACTAAATTTTATTAGTAGATAGATAGCTTTAAAAAGTTAATTTTACTTGTATTATTATTAAATCTATATTCTAAAGAAATAATTTATTTAAGTCCGTAAAGAGAAAAAGTAATAAAATAACGAATACCGTAATGATAAAGCTAACGGCGATTACTAAAGAAGTTCTTATCTTAGACTAAAAGACTAAGTAACTTAGTTAGAATATATTCGATAGAGTTTTAAGATAACTATCTTAAGACGGAGACTTTTAGACTTAATATAAAATAAAGCTATAATAGTGAAGAACGTAATAGAAACTATTTTTCGGAATCTTCTATAAAATTAAAACTAAGGTCGAAAAAGAGAGAAGTATATTATTTCGAGCTTACTCTTAAGTAGTTTTAAAAATATTTACTATAGTAGAGTCTTAAAAGTTATTAAAGTTTATTTATAATAAATAGAGTATTATTATAAAAGATTCGTTATCTAAATAGTACGCTTTAATAGTCCTAAATATATAATACTATTTCTATATCTCTCGGGTTAATTTTATATAACCTACCCGAAAGCTCACGTAGAACATTTTTTCTAGCTAAGTTTAATATTAAAGATAGCTAAATAAAATTATTAATTAAAAAGAAAGTATATAGAGAAATTAAAAATTTTCTAAAATTGCTTAAAGTATCGAAACTAACTCTCTCTAAGCTCTTATAAAATTCTAGATAAGGTCGATATAGCTCTAACTCTTAAGCTAAAAATCTACGATTATATATCGAATTAGATCTTTATATTCTTTAAATCTCTTAAATAAGTGAGCTATCGCCTAAGAAGTGATAGTTTATAGAATGAAGCGATTTCTTTCGAAAAATAATGAGATTTCTTCTCGTTTTAAGATACGATAGATTCGTAGTAAAGAGTAGTCTAAGACTAAGTATTTAGAAAGAGATATAGAATAATTATAAATTAATATAAAACGATAAATTATAAGCCTTACTTTCGGTAGAAGATCTCACTATCGCTTCTATATGACTACTTAGATAGATTATCTTATTAGAACGATTAGCTTTTAGCTATAGTTAAAGATAATAAACGAATAAAAAAATTCTAGAATCTTATAAAATATTAGTTTAATAACCTCTAAGATCGCTCTTCGTTCTATCTCGGAACTTAGTAATATATAACTAGATATCGAACGTAGAACTATTATAAGAATAAGTTTAGCGGTGTTATACTATCGTTATCTTACTAAATATTAAAGAGTATTATAGGTCGTAAAGATACCGAAAAGAAGGAACTTAATCTACGAAGCGAACGCCGGTCTACTCGTAGATACTAAGTAAAGATCTATATTATTATATAATATAATTCGTAGTATATAATCTTATAACGAGGTCGGCGAGTTAATTCTTCCGTAATATATATACTTTAAAACTAACTTAAGTATAAGTTAGTAAAAGATTTAAGATAGAATATTAATAAATAAGCGTAAGACTAGTGTTCTCTATCTTTAAAATACGTAAATATAAAAAGCTAAATTTAAAACTTTAATATTACTAAAGCTATAGTAGTTCGCTTAAGATAAAAGTATTATAAGAAATTTAATAGTCGTCTTCTTTTAGAGACTATTCGAAGTTAGAAGTATCTTTAGAGATAGTTAACTCTTAAAGAATTAGAGACGAAGTAGTAATGAGAATTTCTCTTAACTTAGAAGCTCGGAGTCTAAATCTAGAATTTCTTTTCTCGGCTCTAATCATTAGTTATTTAGCGTATTATTTCGCGATAAGAGACGTAGAATGAACCCCTTCGGCCTTAGAAAGCTTTATAATATACGTTAAAAATATCTTATTTAAATTTTTAGCTTTCTAATATTCGTTATAAATAATAGATTTAACGTTTCTTCGATCGATTTATTTTAGATTAAGATTAGTAGAACTTATTAAATATTAACTATATAAACGCTATATATAGTAATATCGCTTTAAGTTAGAGAAGCACCGATACGGAATAATATACTAGCCGTAGACTTCTATTCGGAGAACTTAGAGAACTATCTAATGTATAGATAGTAAGGCTCATATAAATCGTAAACCTTATAGATAGGTAACTGACTATTAAAGAACTTAAAGATAACTATTTACCTAGGGAGAGTAAAGATCTTTATATAGATAATGAGTGTTCACAGTTAAGACTCTTAAAATGTTAATTTTAAATTAACATTAGTAAGCACGACTAATCATTTAATAAAATACGAAATTAATATCGCACTAGTTACATAATTTTATAGACTCTAGGTCTAAATACGAAGTTAAACTTCGTATTTAATTACGTAACTAAAGATTTAATATAAACCTTTAAAAAGCGATATTTTATAACTTCTTTTAGATAATTCTCGCTAGCTTTATTTTTTTTCTTAATACGTTCATCTCTTTAGAAAATTCTAAGAGACTTAGAGAGAGTATAAATAATAAGATAGTATAGTACGCGATATAGAATATATTACTCTTACTCTTTACTATTATATTCTATCTCGTAGAAATTATTAACTTCTACTAGCTATAATAGAAGTAATATAAGAATTATATTTAGCTAGTGAAGAGAATATTTTCGTAAGTGTCGAAAGTAATATATACGGAGATAAAACTAATATTATTTAATAGACTAGGACTTATTCTTTTAGCGATTAGCTTAATTATAACTCTTATTAATATTTACATCGCTTAGTATAGATATTAGTCGATAACGGTAAAAACTACTATTATTATTATTGTATTATACTTTAGGGCTATATTTACGCTAACTATAATATATAAATTTTAGCTTATTAAGAAAATAAAAACGTTACACGATAAATCGCTCGTAAAGTATATTTCGTAGTAAAGTTATATTAGTACTAGCGATAAGACTTTATTTCTTAGAATTATATCGAATTAATTTACAGTGTAGTATAAAAGCTCTCTATATAAAAAGCTTAAATACTTTATCACTAGTGATACCGATACGATTATCGCTAAGTCTAATATATTTATTTATAGACTAAATCTCTCTAGCTTTAGCTAAATTAATATATACTTATAGTCGCTATAACTAAATATATAAGGGAGATATTATATAATAATTAGCTTAAACTATTTTAAGTT